ACGGGCCGGGGGAAGAAAGAGTGAGAGACAGAGAGGGAGTGAAAGAGAAGTGGCACGGGTCGCGCACGAATTTGGTCGCGAGCGAACGGGAACGAAAAGGGGGAAGGGAGGTTCTCACGTTTCACGACACGTATCACGCGCGGGTCACTCCGGCGAGCGTCGCGATGCTTTTAGCTTGAGGGTTGCCGCGGTACTGCGAGGTCCGCGCTGCCTCGCATCCGATCCTATTTCCCCCGACCCCTTACCCACCCAGCCCACCCGCTCCGCGGACCATCCATTGGCTGATAATTTCGCGCCACACGTGTCTGTCGACTCGTTCGAACTCGGGCTTGCGCCCTACGCTGCTGTCGAACTTAGGATTTCTACCGTTTTAACCCTTTGCGCCTGGAAGCCTTCGTGTTGCTTATATTAGGCTGTACTGAACGATTTTTTTAGTTTACCAATGGAAAGTATTTTCTGTTTTGAACATCTCTGTTTCAATTGTGGAAGTTCTGGAAATGTAATGGTTGTTGATTGGTGAATCTTTATTTTATTTGAATATTTTGGGTATATTTGTATTATTTAAAGTTTGACGTTGAATGCTGAATTTTCTTTGGTGAGATTGAATTTTTTTCGTGTGTATTTTAGCAATGATTTACTAACAATACGGTCATTCGAAAAGGCAGTAAACTCTGTTTAGCTCGAGTCTTCGCGAATTACAGCCTGTCCACCGTCTACGATCGCATTGCCCGCGGTCCCGTCGCGAAATTAATTCTATTTAGGCGAAAACAATCGGCGTAGTAAATTGATTTGCTTAACCAACCCAATAATTAACCAGCCGCACGCTTTCAATTAATATCCCCCCCACTACGGAATAATCAGTCAAGTTTCCAGTGCTCCGTTCCCGAAACTCAGTTTCCAATCTTGTGTCCCTAACAAAGATGACGTCAGCAGCGGAACTGATAAGAACAAGTACCCGTTAGTTTCAATCTCGTCCGCGAGATCTATAGTTAACCCTTGCCGATACATTAAGTTTAATTACGTTCCCCGGCTAACCAACTGGATATTCATTGGATAGCTTTTTCCTTGTCCAGGTTTGTGGGAAAATATGAAGCAAATACATTACACGAGAGAGAGAGGGGGGGAGAGTGAGCAAGAGAAGGAGATAGAGAGGGGAGAGAGGGAACGGGAAATGAAATTACAACTGTTCGCGGTAATAGTAAATGTTTCCATCGCAGTGTGCTAGAACATTTGAAAGTGTAATTTCCCCGACACAATTATAACACTAGTTTCCCCCCTACCAGGCCGCCTCTCACCCCCGGCCCCGCCATCCCTTTATGCTTAGTACCGCAATGCGCTTCTGTATTCAATTCAAGCGTTCGCTGTCAAATATACACCCCCTGAGCTCGCAATTCACCGAGATCTAACTCAAACAAAATTACTCCGGCCCCGGTCGGTTTCACCTATTGATCGAGGATGAGCACGAGTGGCCCACGGCCTTTTTTTCCCCCCTCGTCCTTTTCATTAGCGATAGCCCGCTAATAACCCGGCGCAACCCTTGCGCGATGAAACGCGACGTGACACACATTCGGTTCATCTGAAAAGAGATTTTCCGGTGGCTCTCGCCGCCGTCTTTGTTCCCTGCCGTTAAAAGTGTCCCAATATCGTGCTCCGTTGAGTGTTCTGATCATACAGATCAATTTTTAGACGTGTTTCGAATAAAAGGTAGAAGAACGTTCAAAGTAAACAAGTTCAGTGAATTTTATTCGCAAGAATAGATCGTTATATATTAAACCATTCGTATTAGGATTTTTCATAACTGCACTAGAATAACTTTCTGATTAATAGTTGAATAGAAACAGAAGAATTCTATCATCGTCTATATGAAAAGTTGTTTCGAAGCGTAACGATTAATAGTAGAAAAATAATGCTTGTCTTGAGCTCGAAGGAGAGACGTTTATTTCCTCGCGAGGCTGCCAGGATATTGAAGACGTTGATTCCTCGATTTCCCAGCTTTCTTTCCAGAAATACTTCTATTATCCAGTTTCACCGGTGGTATTGGGTAACTCGATACCCGTATTTGTTGCAAATGAATGAAGCGAGGGCTGCTAGGTAGCGCGAGACAGGGATTCGTTAATTTATGCGAGACCAGATGCGCTGGGATGATGGACGGCGTTAATTCGACGAGGCACCGTGATCCTTTCTCACGCTCCTCTCATCCACGAAACTGAGGCGAAGGATGCTCCGAGACGTTGGATACCGGAAGTTGCACCGAGGAACACCATTCCGGCCCGATCGTTCCCGGGAAGAACGTAGAAGGCAAGGGGCACAGCGAGAGCGAGCAAGAGAGAGAGAGAGAGAGAGAGAGAACGAGCCACTTAGCCGAAATTACCCGATCCGACATAGACGAGTGGCAAGAAGCAAAGAGAAACGAGGGGCAGGGCGAGAACGACGTGGCCCACGTAATCTTGATTTGCGAGTGTTTCGTGATAGCAATCGATGATAAGCCACCCCTAACGATGATCGAAGGGAGCCCGATCGGGTAAACCAATTTGCCGTTTTGTTGGCGATCGTAAATACGGCTCGTTCGATTTAATGAGACGGCAGATCGGAATATCGGATAGGAAGAACGGATGCGGGAGTGAACGAAGAGATTTTATAGATAAAACCACCCTTTCCATAATACCATAATACAGCTAAGAGATGCTCATTGGCTTTGATGAGATTTTCATGGAGAACCGTTTCTTAGGAATATTTAACAAGTATCTCTCGTCGGAAGTTATTCATAGTATAAAGTGAAACAGCTTTCAAATACTGCGATGGAGAACTTATCTTCAAAGCTATTCTAGCTCCGCTAAAATTACCCGATCTTATATCTCCGAATACAACAGCTGTTTTACTTACTGAAACGACACTAATAAATCCCAAGTAAGTTCTGCGAAGTCAACATTTCAGAGTTCCATCGAAATCGACGAGCGCGGTTCCCCGACAACCCCTTGTTAGCGCCATTCGTCCCGACGGTCAGGAAAATTTAGATTACAAAGTTAGGGGAAGGATAACGCCTGTCGTCCCTCTTCGTCGCCGCGAGGAAAAAAGATGGAGGCCAACAATTCACGGGACTTCGGACCGTGTGGATGCACTCGGAGGCGACAAACTTTTTCGTTCCGGTACCTCCTTCCCGGCCATCTTCCGGCGTTCTTTTTTCCAGGAGGAATCGGCCCGGTCCCGTTAATCCTTTCTTCCCTCGCCCCCTCGCTGTCCCGCAGCCCTATCCCGGCGAAAAAACTTGTATCCAACAGTTCCTCCATGTTTCTTCCCCCCGCTATCCGTCCGACGGTCTTCCTCTCCCTCTCATTTCTCATTCGCCCCTCGGAGAAAAGTGCACTTTAGCCGTGTCAACCGTAGACAAAGATACAAAGGAATATTCCGTGCGTCTGCGAATATCACGTAGCCGGGCCACTGGAATATTTCATACGGGGGTGGAGCGAAGAGGGGCAGCGCATCCGCGTTCGGACCCGAACGCGCCCGGGACACTTTCATCCCGTGCGTCTCTCGCGCCCCTCGCGGAATGCATCTTGCAACGGGGATTGATGCACTCACTGCAGCGACAATTCATCCCACGAAAAAGCGCACGCTCTACAGCCAGGAGGACACTTTTGCTCTTTCGATGGGTGTGCTAGAGATTTTTGAAGCTTCCCTCTACCATCCAGTGCTGAGAGACAGTGGCTTTGGATTGGGCAATCAGTGCTTTCGCCGGATTTCAGAGACATTTGAGACTACTTTCTGTTGACATGAGATCTTTAGGAAGCTTGATGCGATAGATTCTTAACTCCTTGGCGTGCTATTTACTTTCGCTACTGAGCTCGCGATTTGGAAGAATAAAATTGACAATTTTGAAGAAATGCAATAAATCCATTCAACTTCAAGTGGAAATTTAATTTGAAGATTATACATTGATAGTAGCAAAATAGTTTGCTTTGATCCGTGGGTAATGGGCATTAATTGTTGTTAAATTAGTCTAGAGATCTTCATTACGAGTCTCATTCGTGATTGTATAGCAAGGAATAATATTATAAACGTTTTCATTTCAATTAGGTCAATGAAACGCAGGTAAATCTTTCGGTAGCTTTAGTAGGCTTCGAAGTATTAGATCGAATGTTTTTCTATCGAATACGAAATATGCGATACGAAGGTGTAGTTAATCAACTCCGCGATGATCAAACGAGGTACTTGACAATAGACTGCGAAGCAGGCTTCTCCGATATCAAGGCCAATTCAGCCCTATTCGTGACATCTGAATGCGAGCCTCGTCGCACGTGTAAACAGAAGGATCCGCCTTTCCATTCGAGCCAAGATCTTCCGGGGCAAGCGCGGCGGAACCATTTCGCGGGAGCCCGTCGCATCAACCTAAACAACGCTTGCGAGGGAACAACGCGAGCTTCGGTAATTTCGAGAGCGATACCGCGGAAACGTTCGCCGAGCATAAGTACTAATGAGACCCGAGGAAATATAATTATTTAAGCGACCCGGCGCGCTTTCTCCATCGACCGTACTACCCCGCCCCGCGCCGATACGCTCGCGCCCGCTTCTAATTATTTACAAACGTGTCTCGTTCGCGGCTGCAATCCGCGCGTGTAATTAAACTCGGCGACGCTGAGTATAACCATGTTCGCGGCCGATTCTAATTGAAGAACGAATACTTTCGCGTTTGTTTCCGTGAGATTTAACGGCGAGAAAGATGGCGGCGAGGGATTAAGCCTTAACGCGTTGAGTGCCATTCGGATTACCGGGGTCAAGCAAATGGAATTACTATAGTTTATTCGACTAAACGATGATCATTTGGAAATATTTCCATATTATAGTCTTACCTAATATGACATTCAGCTACATCAACGTGCAATAATAACACAATTCAATCTAATGATTTAATATTACACTTTTTCCATTTTACTTTGCTCGGTGTTATTCGTAAACTATGAATCAAGTATTGCTTATCAGATTGTATTAATTATCAAATCAAGTATTACTTGTTGCTGTTCAGTCCCTAGTTACAATAGTTTCTCTTTTATATTGAAAAACCAAACTGTACAGGTGAATTAAGTAGAATTAAAACGTGAATGTCATGGGTGAGACTCGAGACTGTTATGAAAACGGATCACGTACGCGTTGAAAACATTGGAATTAAGCAGTTAGCTGTTTTTGACGAG